TTTTTGTCAAAAAATTGTATTTTTTTCTACAAATATTTACTATTTATTTTAAATGGGAATTCAAAAAATACTTTTTTCTAGAAATTTTTTCAAGAGTTAAAATTAAACTAGAAAAAAAATTTCATTAGTAAATTGTTCTTGGAAAAAAATTTAGATTCTCAATGTAAACCTATAACCAAAACCCAAAATTATGACAAATTATCGGAAAGGTCATAAGTCTTAGCTAAAATCACAGTATTTAAAAACGGCACTTTTGATTAATGATTTTTAAATTAATTTCCTAACAACCGAGGTGTGGAAAAGAAATTTTGAAAAAATGCAAAGCCATCGTTATTTGTATAAATTCAAGCACAGATTTTATCTACTGGCCTAGAATGAAGTCATTATTATTTTGTTTTTCAAATGAATACAAAAAATCAATGATTTCTTTAATAATTCTTTTTGTACACTTTGTGCTTTATTCTCTTATAAAACTGCTGTGTGCCATAATTAGAATTATTTTCCGAATCCTTTTTTATCTGAATAATCGAATCTCTCAACAACTCGCCTTTATATTGAATTTGCTGTTGTTTTGCCGTTTTTTCATGTAGGCATTTTTATAGTTGGTGGCGCATTATTCGTACATTACCGCAGAAAAGTTATTATGCTTTGGCAAAAACAAAAACAAAAAGTTTGCGCACGAAAAATGATGGATTATTTGACACCGTGTGGCAGCTTGGCGAAACATATCCGGGTGATTAGTCAAACAAGATTATTATTCTCATTACTGGGTCTGTATGTTTGAATGTGTGTTATAAGCATTTGTAAGAAATCAATGACAAATTATGTGGCGAATAAATAATTGAACCTTCAGCAGGTGATGACGGCGAGGTGAGAGTTCTTGTAAGCCTAAGTGGCAGCCGCGAATGCAAACAGGGGAATATGAATCGAAAAACTTATTTTTTCATAACATATTAATGAAAAAACGTGCTTAATAAATATAAATGTATATTGGAAAAAAATACCTTTTTTTTAATTTATATTTTTTTAAGATTTGTTTATATAAAAAATATTTTTTTTAAATACCTTAATTATTTTTATTAAATTTATAATAATTTGCATTTTTTATGAACATGTGCTTTTGAGAAATATATTTTTTAAAGAATTATTAGAAAAACCAATAATTTTTTAAATTAAAATTTATAGTCAAAAATTTCAAAAGCTTTTTACTAAAGTTAATTTAAAACTTTAACTCAGAATATATAGCTTTGTAATTTTTTTTTTTTCAAAACATAAAAATTCATATTTATTTTCTAAATTTTGGGATCATCCAAATTTTTTGCAAATAATTAATTAGAATTGCTGACGTAACTGCCCAAAAATGTAGAAGCTTCCGACAGCTGATTGATAAATAAACATAGAGTCGGATGGAAACGGTTAAATAATAGCAATATTTAAACGCTATGCATGGCTAGCAGCCATCTAATCTCATCAAGATAAAATTTAGGATTTTTCATATAATTTGAATGTAAATTACTCATTATAGTCCTCATTTGCAACATGCAATTTTTTAGAAATTATTTTACATATAAAAATTAAACAAAAAATAACAAAA